AAATTTTATATATGAGTAAATTTTTTTTCTACGATGAATTTGTATTTTTTTTTTCGATGATGGGAACATGGGTGTGGGTGAACGTGTCAATGTCAATCTGGATTCTTCTTCAAATACACCCACACCCAAACATCCGCATCCATACCCACCCGCACTCTCAATCCCACACCTCATCCACACCGTATTACTGGTAATTCACTTGAATGTTTTGTTACAAGAAATTCTTTGTATAACTGATACATTTTCTATTTAAAAATTTTGTGAATTAATTCTTATTTATCAAACGATGATCGAATTTTTCGGACAAGATTTTATTTTGGATGAAAATTTTCTACTTTCAGTTGAACATATGAAAAGAAAAGTTTTTTTTTTTTTTGAAATTAAAATTAAATCGAATTGATCAAGTACTTTCAAAGTGTTTGTAACAAAGGATAGACAAGGCTGTGAAGTGTAGCTGTACATGAAGAGAAGACATACGCAGACATTTTTATTAAAGAAAAATGACTGTAATTACAAATATTTCGATTTTTATTTGAAGATCAATTGTGAAATGAGTTGACTCGTATGTCAATGAATATTTGAAATCATGTCTGTCAAAACGAATAAAACCAATGAATCATGAATAATAATAGCGATGGGTTCGCTTGACACGTTTATGACTAATTGATGTATTCGATTGGTTATTCAGGCTCTTGCCAAGCCACAAGTATACTGGACAGCTCCAGTCATAGTCGAGAAATAAGTCCCAATTCACCTTACATACAACATCTCTTTTTATTCGCGTGAGCCATTCAATGATCTCACTCGTGAAATTAAATACTCCACGTTTTCGAAATGTGACACTTGATAAATGTTCAGCTCGTTCCAATAATATTTTTGCGTCGTCTACATACATGATATCAGTATCGAGACGTTTTATATGAGATGGTAATTTCAAACAGATAGCATTTAGAGTTATCAACTTCATTCTCTCGGAATCATTGCAAGTTATTTGAATTGAACGAAGATTCCATGCTCGTTTGAATAATGTATCCATTTCGACATCCAAACTCACAGCGAATTTGCAGTCACACCCGAAATTTAAGTGGACTTTTTGAAGATTCGATAGATTAACAATTGTTGAAAGATGTTCAATTGATTTGATGGGCCATTGCTGATTAATCGTCAGGGTAAGTTCTGTTACATTACGAAATAAATAATTCGGTGTTGGATTCGTCTAAAAACAAAATGTGTACTATTTAAAGATATTGGAAAATACAATATAAAACTATTCTATGCTGAAAAAAGTCAGCAAATAAGTACAGATCATTTTTGTATGAACTTAAGAAATCTTTTCAAAGAACTTTATATTTAAATAAAACAAATTTGTCTTAAACAACATGTTCGAGCACCCTTTATTCAATATATTACAAATGAGAAATTTTTTTTGTTACTCAAAAACGAGAAAAAAATTATTTTTAAGACTCTCATAGAAAAAGATCTTGTTTCGAACAGTCACAATAAAATAAATGATTTTCAAAAAAGACATATGTACGTCTTTTTACTAAAATCTATTGTGCGGTTCAACAATATTTACCTCAAATCGATGTGCAAATGCAAGACTTTATAACTATTTATTGAAGAATCAATGATCTCCAATATTGACAAAAGAGTGTTTTACATTAATTGCATCTTTTTTTCAAAACATGCTAAACCAACTAGCTCCATTTCTTCGACATAGTAAGATCGATCGAACACAAATTTTCTCACAGATACTACCTGTGTAAAAACAATTCTATAGGATAATCAAAAAGTAATCGAACTCAATCTAATACGCCACCAAAACAGTATTTAGTATGTGAATAAATCGATTTCCATGTGAATCGAATAATTCAAAGTTTTTGTTCATAATAATTGACAAAGAATGTTCAAAGCTGCCACTATTTTACTCTAATACAGAAATGTAGCATTTTTCTGTGACTAAAAATATCTTCGAGTTCCAATTGATTAGAAGTTTTGGAGCCCGTATTTCTTCCACTAGTAGAAGACCACTAACATTGTAACAGTCTTCAAAATGTTCATGATCGTGTTGTGTTTTGATCGAGTTATTGTAAATTATTGATGAATTCTTCTATGTAAAACCAGATTATTCAATAAAATCGTATTTTCAAAATTTAGTTTTTGATCGGAAACTTTGGTCACATAAAGATCATAATCAGACTAATCTATGTAGCAAATTGCAGAATGTTCCGATGTAGTCTTTCTTCAATATGCATTATTTAAAAGCTTCATATACGAAACGATATCGATGAAAAAGTGTATATTTCGGAGAGGATGCCTCGAAAAATTGTTGAAAGCCGATACACATATTAGTCTAATTGAGATCTTAATCTTTATAGAAGAATTAACCAAAGATTCAATATCTTGATAACAAGACAATGAACTCGTTGAAGATTGTCAAAGCCCACTGGTCTCATACTGCTGCATTACATGTTGGCTCAACGTTATTTAATAAACTGGTGAACAATGATACACCTTGTATATTGGAGAACCGTGGACAATAGAACGAGTCATTTTTTTAGGATTGTCAGATCTACTGTAACTTTTATTCTACTGTTCGAATTCTACTTAGGGCAATCCAAAAATAGTGGCCCCATTTTCATATGTCTCTATAGAAAATGTGAAATTCCACTAACGGGTGAGACAGGTTAAATGTTTCAACCGCTTAATGCATTGTATTAAAAAAACAAAATAAACCCCTCCCCGCATTAGAAGACCCCGGGTCTTCTATTATGTCTCGTCGTAAAAATTTCTCAGGAGGGTCTTCTATTATGTCCTAGGCTTTTTAGCAATTATTAACTAAATGTGGTTTTCCAGAAAGCCAGAGCGCTTTTCAGGATTCTCATAGGGATTTTCGCGGTTTTAAGGGTTGAGGGATACATTTGGACCTACTTTCTAAATATTCCCAGCTGAAAAACCTAAAAACTGTGCACTTCTGGGCGGAAATTCTCTAATTAAAGTCCCTAATTAGCAAAAAATTAATTAATTAAAGGGGGGGTCTTCTAATACGCCCGATGAAATTTTTGTCCAGGGGGGTCTTCTATTATGGGGGGTCTACTAATATGGGGGGGGTCTTCTAATGCGGGGAGGGGTTTATACCACAAGATGTAGCGCGAAAAGCTCTGCAATTTACAAAAGAACAGTTTATTTTATATATGGAATAAGAAAAATATTACTTTTTCGGATCAGCAAAAATTGGTCGCACGGAATTTTGATTTTTTTTTTTTGAAAACAAGAAGTATACAATTAAAGTAAGCTTTACTTTGTAGATTATAGAGCTTTTCACGCTGCATCTTGTAAAGTATTTTGTTTTTCTTAAATAAAAGATATCAGGCGACAAAAAGATGCAATAGAAAAAATGAATTTATCTTGTATCAAAAAATGGTTGCTCAAAATTTTGTTCATTTTGAAAACAAAAAGTGCAACTATAATATAAGCGGTCTTTCGTAAATTGTAGAGCTTCTCGCGTTACATCTTGTGGTATATTTTATTTTTTAATACAATTTATTAAGTGGTTGAAACATTTAACCTGGCTCATCCGTTAGTAAAGTTTTACACCAAAACAACTCTTATTGAAATTTTATTATTATGATATTAGTTGAAAAGTGATCAAATAGGACAAAAAAAAAGAGCATCGTTTTCTCTATCACTGCATCAGGAAAGAAAATTTCTTTAAGCTTTCTATAGAGACATAATAAAATGGAGTCACTACTTTTGAATGGCTCTATGTATTATCTATTCTGACAAGTCCATAATTTTATTGAAAATTTTACCGAGAAACTTTAACAATAATTACAATCTTATAAAATGGATGGATACCAAAAAACCAGCAGTAATCAATACGATGCTAAAAAAACAAAACTTATTATTAGATTCCAATCATAATCTATCAATTTTCTTTGAAAAGAATTATTTGTTGGAGAAGAACTAGCGCGATTTTAAAATCTAAAATAACGCTTACCTTTGATCGAGTGCTTTCAGTCATCATTTGGCTCAAGTCTATGAATAATTGATGCGCATTGACGATGATTGTTGCATTGTTCTCAGCAGTGTTTAACGTAGAATGCAGAATTGTACTTTGTCTATGAGGATAATAAAAGTTATCCTGAAATATTGGTATTGAATAGAGATGAAATTTTCGATAAAATTGGTTGTACTCGTAGTCACATTTAACAAACCAATGTTTGAGTTCGAGCCAGAATGGTGTTCGAAATGGTGTAATCAGTGATTCTGCAATAGTACAATCTTGACTATCGAATGCATTAAGAGTAAACCAGAATTCGAACCTGTTCAATAGAGGTAATTTCATTTCAATGAAATTTTCCCATTGAGAACCATCAAAAAATAAAGGATCAGTTAAAGGTGTCTCACCAATTAGTCGAAGATGTGTTAGCATAGGTAAAAATGAAAGGATGGTTTTAAAATTGTCCATTTTTATGTCCGAACTCAGTTTTAACGAGAATGAAGTTAAATGACTTGACGGTATGATTTCAGAATGTGTAAGTATACTGTCATCAACGACTAGTGTTTTCAATACTAATGTTTGTAGATGAGGTAAATGACCAAGAATAGAGTAAACTTTATTACAGCTACATTCACGAAAAATTGTTACATGTTTCAATCTACATGAAATAGGCCATTGTATTTTACTGAAGATCTCATCAATTCCATCGAATTCGAATTTACGAAGATTATTGTGTGACATGATAGATGATAGCAACGTTGTTATGTTCATATCATACTCAATAGACGACATTGAGAATGTTATAAGAGGATATTTCATGATATGTTTTTGAAATTCATACAAGTCTTCGTATTTTACGTTAAAGAGAGTTAATGAACGTAGTCGAATGAATAGATGGATACGAAAGTGAGAAAGATATAATCGAATTTGATCGGGTGTCTGTACCTCATCCGAAAGTGTAAGTGAGATAACATTTTTAGGATCAATAATACGTGCCATGCGAGGTAGATCAGATTTTGACATATAACGAAAGTCCAGCTCATAACGATTGTAGGCATTGGCAATGGAATAGAGCCGTTTACAGACGCAACGAATTGAAAAGACAATTGTCTCTGCATCGACATCATCAAAAATTCGATGAATAAGTTCGATGGGTAACGTTTGAAAATAGGATCCCCTTTTAGTAGACATAAGTCGTAGTATGCAAAATGCACATGTGTAAAATGTGTTGTTTTTTTTTGCCGACAATGTGACACAATTACAGATTCACGTCGAGTAGAAATATTTAATCATGTGTCATAGATGACTATATAGAACGGAAAAAAAGGCAAATGCGTGCATATTTATTCATTGAAATATCAAAAAAAGAAATGTAACACTAAGTCGATGACTCACCTTCCAAATGTTGCAAAAGAAAAATGCAATAACATGCGTTTGAAATTATGAACAAGTTAATATGAAACTTTTTTCAGAGACACGAGATTCAAAATGGATGTGATTGAAAGAGTATTTATCTGATTTTGCAAATTTAATTGATTTCGAAGAATATTATGTAAAATTATTCGTTTTACAGCAAGAAAATCGTTGATTCATCTGAAAAATATAGTGTAATATAATATTCCTCTTCGTAAAATTTGATTCAAAAATTTATTTCAAGAGAATTCACAAATATAAGAAAATTGAAACGAAAATTCAATGACTTAATCATTGAAACTCGAACAAAGTTTAGTGTCAATCAAGAAACTCAATTTTGAAAATTCGACTTCTTGAAGTTTAATTTCACTCAGATGATGATTAATACTTATATTCAATATACGGTTATTATTGTTCAAGAGTGTATTCGTATTGATGTCACACCTACACGCAGATAAATCTCTCAACCTTTCACTTTCGCTTGTCTAAACTTAAAAGTATACTTCATTACACAAAAAAAAAACAATTTATACTAGATTATCTGCTAGCTCATATGGAATATGTAAGCCTCACATTTCATTCACAAAGCAGCTGCGCTAGTAAACTTTCCTTCCTCTTTTTTTTCTGTTCTATTTCTTACAGATGATGGTAAATTTTTTGTCGTTCTTTGCTCAATTTTTTTTTATTAAGAGGCCCCTCAGAAACCAACTTTGTTATTTTTCGTCTGATTTTAATCAAAATTTCAGAGAATGCCGGTCTTGGCTAGAGCATATTATAGTTAAAATATCTTTCCAAATCTACGTCATATTCACAAGTTATAGTTAGTTCATTAGTAAAAAATACCCTTTACGCGAGTAAGGTCCTCATTATGAGGATACGAGTTAAGCATGCCAGGAAAGGTTTTTAAATTATAGAGTACTCTAGAGCTAGGTCATTACAGAGCCCGATTTTTGAAATTTCCATGGTTTGTTTTTTAAAAGGTCTTTTCCGAAAAGTTCTCGAATTCATGACCAAAAAAAAACGCTCATAAAAACGAAATATATAAGTTTTTTATTTCACCAATAAAGAAATTCAAAAATAAGGCTCTCTAACGACCTAGTCTTACGAGTACTCTATGCAATAAAAAAAATGATCACTTCTGTATTGAATCGTTATTGAGTAAGGTTTGCCTGCGCAAACAGTATACTCAAAAAAAAAAAATCAATTTTAAGAATAACAGAAAATAAGTTTTTAAAAACCTTTTTTTCCCCCCAATATTGAGGTTTAGAAAAATCTATGTAATATCCTTAAAGCTTATCATAAAATCAATCAACGATAATCCATTCGAGAGTAGACACATTGTTCTATCTCACAAGCTATAAATCACAAAATTGACTTTATCTGAGAGAGATCCTTAACAACAAAAACAATAGTTTTGCTTTTCATTCATCACGTTTTTCACTTGGAAAAAATCAAGTTTATTATATTCATATTCTTAAATAAAACATGTACGTAGAACATTCTTAAAAACGGAACCGAGAAAGTAGTAGTTTACATTTCAAACGATAATAAAAATAAGTTTTAAGAGAAGACACTAACAAAAATGGGTGTGGATGTTGATGTAGGTGTATTAATTATATATTGAACCACACCCACACCCACACCCTACTGTAGTCAGATTCAGATCTGAGTCTTTTTTCAGCCAATATCTGGTAGCTTTTCTGCACATGAACAAGGAAAGCATCAAGCTTTCAACTATTTATTGGCTATTCTCCAAAAAAATGTCAACGTACGTTTACTCCTTGTTGTTCACGTTCTCATCACTCGATGCTTGATAAATTCAAAGTTCTCACTTAATTGAAAGGAACGTTCTGTTAACAAAAAAGAAAACTCTACAGTTAATTGATAAACAGAAATCATTCAACCAACAGTAACATCAATATCTCCAACGGTATGAAATACTTTTAGCTATGCTTCTGCACCCAAGAAAAAATAGAATTCTAGACCCGGATCCGGTCGGTCCGGGGTGTGCAAATATCCACTACTATCTATTTCGTAGACAGAGTTTGATTTGTTAAAATAAATATAAAACTCAGTTCATTCCATATTTACACCATTCAATTACAAAAAGACAGGTGCATGCGCGTTAACCATATTCGTTACTACTATCCTGTCGATTTATTTAACGCTATCTTTCTTTTAATCTTCGAATTGATCTACAACCTTGAGATTCTCCAATACGTATAGCTGAATATGGTGAATTTGCTTTAGATAATGAAAGTCAAAATTATAAATTACAAATATCACAATTTCGTTCGAACACATCAACAGCTGGTGATTCACTTTCATCATCATGGGATAATGCTAATAGAATATCATTTTCTATTTATGATCATGATCATGATTATGATAATTTATTTTATAATAATTGTGCATTAACTTATCATGGTGCATGGTGATTTACAAATTGTTTTCAATCACATCTAGATGGTGCTTATATACGATCACCACTTGCTTTACAAAATACTGCAAGAAATGGCTTACATTGGAATACATATGGATTGTATTATTCAATGAAAGAAACAACAATGCGTATTCGACGACAACATACATTTGCAATCAATTAACTTATCTTACTTTTTTCATTTTATGTCATATAAAAATAAATAATCATGATTTTCAATATAATTATTTTGATGGTAATTTCACCCTACACAAGTAAAGTTAGCACCAGATTCGAGTTTATACTGTTCGGATTCGCCCCTGGATTTGAGTTGATTTTGGTTCAACTTGAGTTATATGCAGAATTTTACGGCGAATCTGATGGTGTAAAGATCAAGGGGGAGAGGGGGGGGGGGAGGTCATCGAGCAAAAATCAACACTTGACCCCAAAATACTGGTTTTTTTCAAAACTTTTCTGAAAGTTTTTCCTGTCCGGATTCGCTATGTTGCTTGAGTTAGACTCAGCTCGAAATTCTGCATCGAATGATATCAATTTTA